GGCGGCTAGGGTCTGGAACCAACTTCCAAGGGAGGTGGTGCAAGCTCCTACCCTGGGGGTTTTTAAGAAGAGGTTAGATGAACACCTTGCTGGGGTCGTTTGACCCCAGTACTCTTTCCTGCCATGGCAGGGGGTCAGACTAGATGATCTGGTCAGGTCCCTTCCGACCCTAGAAACTATGAAACTATGACCCTGGTCCCTAGGGTCCGGTTGCAAACTCTGGGGCCTTCTGCTGCCCCTGGCCTGTTGCAGAGTGCAGAGCCTGGACAAGGGTATGGGCCCCAGACCATTCCCTTACCCCTAAGTATGATGATACTGCCCAAGGGGTAGGCACTGGCTCAGTACCTGGACCTTCTGTTTGATCCACCTCCACCCAAGGTCCCTCTCACCTGTAAGTAGTCTTGTTGTTGCTGGACCAACTGGATGCACTGGTCCCTGATCCTGCATCTACTGGTCATCGAGCTTGTAGAATGGTGCTCCTCCAAGCACCCTGCTGCTTGGGCTGGACTAGCTGTTCTGCTTCAGCAGTGGGCTACCCCCAGTCTGGGAGCTACTCAGTCTTTTGCCTTTGCTACCTACTGCCACTGCCACTGTACCCCTCTCTGGGGCCAGAAGTACTGCTCTAGATGTGTTCCCCATCAATGCAAAGTGTCACATTGCTCCAGAAGTGCTGCAGCATCTCCAGCATGCCACTTGCGGGGATTCCTCATACCATGGTGAGTCGGGGATGCTGGCCATCCCTCTGTTCCTTTCTGCCTCTCTCACAGTAGGCGTAAAAATGCAGTGATGTTTGGGAGGGTTGGTTGTAGCCGTGTTGGTCTAAGGACATAGGGAGACAAGGTTCTTTGGGTAAGTGTGATATCTTTTATTAGACCAACTAAATAGTTGGAAAAAATGTTCTTTGCAAGCTTTCAGGTACAAACATCCTTCTTCAAGAATAACAAAGATCTAATAAAACATAGTTTCATAGTTTCTAGGGTTGGAAGGGACCTGAGAAGATCATCTAGTCCGACCCCCTGCCATGGCAGGAAAGAGTACTGGGGTCAAACGACCCCAGCAAGGTGTTCATCTAACCTCTTCTTAAAAACCCCCAGGGTAGGAGCCTGCACCACCTCCCTTGGAAGTTGGTTCCAGACCCTAGCCGCCCTGACCGTGAAATAGCGCCTTCTGATGTCTAACCTAAATCTACCCTCTGCTAGCTTGTGACCGTTGTTCCTGGTCACTCCTGGCTGTGCTTGGGGGAACAGTGACTCCCCCAATGCCTTCTGATCCCCCCTGACCAGTTTGTAACAGGCCACAAGATCCCCCCTCAGCCTTCTCTTGTGGAGGCTGAACAGGTTCAGGTCCCGTAGCCTCTCCTCATAGGGCCTGCCCTGCTGTCCCCTGATCATGCGAGTGGCCCTCCTCTGGACCCTCTCCATGCTGTCCACATCCCTCTTGAAGTGCGGCGCCCAGAACTGGACGCAGTACTCCAACTGCGGCCTGACCAGTGCCGCATAAAGGGGGAGGATCACCTCTCTGGACCTGCTCGAGATGCATCTGTGGATGCATGACAAGGTACGGTTGGCCTTCCTAACTGCCTCCCCACACTGCCGACCCATGTTCATCTTGGAGTCAATGATGACTCCAAGATCCTTTTCCGCCTCCGTGCTGACAAGAGGGGAGTTCCCTAACCTGTAGGTATGGTGCCGGTTGTTCCTCCCCAGGTGCATCACCTTGCACTTGTCTGTGTTGAAACCCATCCTATTCTCATCCGCCCACCCTTGTAACCTGTCTAGGTCCGATTGTAGCCTGCTTCTTCCTTCTAGTGTGCCCACATCCCCCCACATCTTAGTGTCATCAGCAAATTTGAACAGGGTGCTTTTCACCCCCTCGTCCAAATCGCTGATGAAGATGTTGAACAGTGCGGGCCCGAGGACCAAGCCCTGCGGAACCCCACTGCCCACATCCCTCCAGGTTGAGAAGGACCCATCCACTACCACCCTCTGGGTGCGGCCCTCCAGCCAGTTGGCAACCCATTTGACTGTGTGGGTGTCTACGCCACAGCCTCCCATTTTCTTAATGAGAACAGGGTGAGAGACAGTGTCAAAAGCCTTCCATATCACATTTACTTAAAAAACCTTGTCTGCCAGTGATGTTTGGGCCATTTGTTCTGTCAGTATATAGTGTTGTGGCATTAGGTTCAATGGGACATGAGGTCATCTTCAGCTAAGTGAAATCTGGGATACAGGAGCACTTTAGTGGTTGGGGAACTATTTCATCAGTGTTATCTCCAGTGATGCATCATCATGTGAGATCTTTGATGAATCTGGGCAGCATCAATGTTTGTCATTGGAATGGTTAGTCGGATTGGTGTTTTTAAGCACAGGAGTGCCTGGAGTAACAATATGGTAATGTCCAGGTCAGAGTGACTTCTGGCACACCAGGGTGAAGTAGTACGGGATGATAGCACCTCAGGCAACACGTTCACAAGTGGTTGGGATGTTGTGGTATCTGGAGCATTGGGGCATAGCAATTTCTGAAGCGCCCCGACATCATCATCACCAACGAGGAAGTCAAGAAAGTCATGATCGTAGATGTTACCATCCCCTTTAAAACCAACGTCAAGCCTTCACCGATGCCTGGGCTCACAAGCAGGAGAAATATGCCCCACTGACCAGCATCCTGAGGAGCCGTGGCTACCATGTGATGGTCGACATGCTCATTGTGGGATCGCTTGGAGCCTGGGACCCCAGCAACGAGAGTGTCCTGTGTGCCTGCCACGTCTCCCACCGCTACACCAAGCTGATGCGGCGCCTCATGGTGTCTGACACCATCCACTGGTCCTGCAACATCTATGTCGAACACCTCACGGGCCAGTGCCAGTACATCAATCCCTCCAGACCAACCGCCACCTGGGTTGAACCAGAAGGGCCTGAACTCCACTCCTCACCTAATGGACTCTGAGAGCTATTCTCAACCATGGCCTACTCCACGCTACCTGGCAAGGACCCCTGTGATAGGGCGGGATGATTTGAGTGACTTCTTTGTTCAGCCCACCCCCTCCATCATTGCTGACCTTCCTACATTTGTTTGTACCTATCTTCCTTTCTCTCTCAGCGTCCAGACCCCCTCCCTCCCCTTCTCTCACCCTGCCCCCCACCCCCAGGCTTAGATGCCTAACATTGTACTTAGGTAGCCTAGTTGTGTTCTTCTCCTCAACCCCATCCCTTTTATGTTAGGTCCTCGCTTGGCCACTCTGTATTTCCCTTATGGCCTTGTCATTCTTGTTTTATGATTCTTTACATTTTCTAAGGATGCAGTGTTTCTCTGGAGGAACAAGTGAGGAACAGAGGAGTTGTCCAGGTGGGGAGGTATCTACTCGGGTGCTACCCCTTGTAAGGGACAATAACGCCATCAGATGATAGTGACAATCTGCGAGAGGGAGGGTCTGTGTGGGTTCCACGGTGGTTTCAGGGAGACGGGAAGCCCAAGCCAGGGCTACAGTCGTTTCGCACCGCCGGTGCAATGGCAGAGAAGTCATAGCGGCACTGTAGGGGGAGGGAGGCGCAACAACTGCCTACTCGCCTGCGTCATGCGACGCCATTTCTCCCGGATTTCCGCGCCGGCGGCCCCTCCCCGTACGAGCTGTTCCCTGGCGCAGGCGTGGTGCAGGAAGGTGCACGCAGCTTGGCTGGTGCCTGCGGCGACGATGCAGGGCGGGGAGGCGGCGGAGGATGTGCAGGCACCTAAGCGGGCTCGGGTCTCCGGCCTCCCCGAGGGGCTGTGCACCCCGGAGAAGCGAGTCTCAGCCTGGCGAGCCCCGGCGTGCGCCGAGGTCCAACCGCGTTACTGGGACCCCGAACGTGTTTGCGACTTCCTCGACCGCAGCGGCTTCCGGGACCCCGACCTGCTGCGCCGCTTCCGAGGTGCTGGGCGCTGCGCGCTTCCCGCAGCAGGGCGGGGCGGCGAGGGGGGCCTGCAGAGCCCTGCGGCCGCCCGTAGTCTTTGCAGGGTAGGGGCGGGAAGCCTGCGGCGCTTCAGCTTGGTTTCCAAGACCCGCGGCTTGCGCCGGCAGCGCTGCCGGGGTGCGCCTGAGCTCCAGGCCGGCGGGGACTGAGGGCCGGGAGCCGCGTGTCCCGGGTAGGCGTTGCAGCGCCCCTGTCAAGTTGGCGCAGCTGCGGGCGCTGCCAGGAACGGGCGGGCCGCTTTGCAGAGCAGGAAGCGCTTGGCCACGTCTGTGCCTGTCCCTCGAGTAGGCGGTTTGTTTGTGTGAGGCTCGTCCGCTCACTGCTCTGTGCCTTGCAGTGTCGTGACGTGTGTGTACACGGGCTTGAAGTTGTTTCTGCTGCTGTTTAGGTTTGTATTCCACCCTGTCCGGAAAGGCTCAAGGTGGCTTACAGCTCTTGACAAAACACATAAGAAGCAACAAGTCTGCAAGCCACAGCCGAACACTTTAAAAACCCCACCCCACCCCAGGGAGACCCTTGTGTCCCTGCCTAGCATGTAGGGGTGATCCATTCCCCTGTTCCCCAGTATCCATCCTGAAGCCACCCTCCTCTCCTACAGAGGGTCTGTGGCTGTTCCTTAAAATGCTTAAATTCCAGAAATTAAATTTAAAAACCTGTAACAGGGAAATGGCAGAAAGATCCTTTATCCCTGCCAAATGGATACCCTACCCTGGAGGCCTTGCAGGCTTATAGACTAGCTGGGTTAGCCCATATTTTGCACTGTGGCAATAGTGGAGCAATATTGGGATTTTATTGGTGGCTCTTTTATTAGTTTCTGAGCAATTTAAACTTGGATTTATAAGACCTTTTTAGTTGAGAAGAAAAATTTGTACATGTACCTCAAGGCTGTGTTGTATAGATCTCCTGATGTAATTGGGTTGAGATGCGAACTCCACACCCATGAACCTTTTCCTTAGGGTGTTAGAGCTGAAGCCTGACATTTCTAAATGTGAACATTACCTTTTAACTGCTGTTTTTTTCTAAGAGAAATTCAAAGCTACTCTTAGTATGGAAAAAAGGTATCTGCACCTGGGTAGTCAGAATGTGGAGGGATGTGGGCAGTGGGGTTCCGCAGGGCTCCGTCCTCAGACCTGCACTGTTCAACATGTTCATCAGCGACTTGGACAAGGGTGCCCTGTTCAAATTTGCTGATGACACTAAGATGTGGGGGGATGTGGGCACTCTAGAAGGGAGCAATAGGCTACAGTCGGACCTAGACAGGTTACAAGGGTGGGCGGATGAGAACAGGATGGGATTCAACACTGACAAGTGCAAAGTGATGCACCTGGGGAGGAAAAACTGGCACCATACCTACAGGTTGGGGAACTCCCTTCCTGTCAGTACAGAGGCAGAAAAGGATCTTGGAGTCATCATCGACTCCAAGATGAACGTGGG